GAGTGGGGCCATGTGGCTCCCATTAGGAAGGGGCTTTTTGGGTCATGCAGGGGGAATCCACCCCTCAGGAAGCTCTCCTGGGATGGGGTGGCCTGGGGAACACTGGGGTCCCCTCATTTCTTAGAGAATCTCGATATTTTTGGTATAAAAATATCAAAAGGCAAATAAGAGCAATTCCAAATGTTTCTTCCTGCATYCCCTCAGTCCTTGGGATTTTCCCTGGCATTTCCATTCATTTTGGCGGTCTGCCTCATTCCCCAGGGCCCTGCRATTCCCAAATCCCTGCCGATTTATTCTGCTGGATCCCAGACTCCAGCAAGCTGCTGGTGAGCGGTGTCGGGAATCCAGGATGGGGCATCAGCTCTGCCACAAAGGCTGAAAATTCCCAGTGATTTGGGAAGAGCATGGGGTGCTGGAGACTGACAGGACATGGCTGCTGGGAAGAGCTGGAGCAGAGCCAGCCAGGCTCAGACACCTCCAAACCCAACTCCCCTGCCCTTCCCGAGCTGATGGATTCTCTCTCTGATGGGAGAAGGGATGTGGGACAAAACACGAGTCAGRKTTTTGCCTTTTTCAGCCTAGAAATGAAAMTTGAGATAATTTCAGTACAGGAGGTGRTATAAAAATGGGTCTTTAYTGGAGCTCCAGGGGCAGCCTTGGAAGGAGATCCACAAAATCCCAGCCCCACAGGGGTGAACGCAGTTTGATAGGCTTCAGGAAATTAGCATAATTGATAAAAAGCACCAATTAGGAGGACAAGTGGTGATGTCATTCCCCCCAGGTCAAGTCCCTTCTCTTGAGCCCCCCACCCTCGCTCCCAGCTATCCTTGGTGAGGGAAATGGATCTCCCAGACCTTGGTTCCCAGGAAGAAAAAGGATGGGATGGGACCTTGTACGTCCCAGCACTCGGAGCTCTGGAATGGGTTTGTTCTTTGTCTCTGCGGAAAAAGGGCAGGGGAAAGTCCTGGGAAGGTTGCAAATATATAAAAGAAAAAAGGCAAAAATCATTCAGTTGTCAAGATCCCAAATTTCTCCGTCTGCCTATTCAAAACTCCTCCCCGCTCCGAGCCACAGCGAAAACAAAGACCCCCACGAGCTGTTTTCAGGGAGGTGAAACGCTCCGAGAGGCGCCGGGGAGCCCTTCAAGGCCTTCATTTGAAACTGAAGCTCGAACCTGGCTCGTTACATCTCGAAACATCSGATGCGATCGCGCCGATCAAAGGCGCCTCGTTTGCCGTGTAATGAGGTGTCAAAGCGGCGCCTGGCAGCACAAACAGGAGCCGCTTTGATCCGCGGAACGAGGTGTTTAACAGCGCTGCCGGAGCGGCCTCCCCGCCGTTCGGCGGCTCTTGTTTGAAGGATGCTCTTGTTCCCTCTCGCGGTGTGGCAGCTGACGCCGTGTCGCTGTCACAGCGGATTGGGGACCTGCGGGGGAATCAGCGGGCACGGAACGGCAGCCGGGCTGGGGAGCCGCACCGARCGCTTTTCTGGCAGTTTCCACAAGGAATTGTTGGGGTTTGCCCCTTTTCAGGAGGGCTTTTTTGCCCTGAGAAATGTTGGAGTCGACGTGAGCTCGCTCTTGAGATATTTTGGGGAAAACCCCCACGATTCTGGAGGTTGTCTATGCTCCCGCTGCCTTGGGCTGCCTCGTCCCACTGCGGGGGCTCTGGGCTGTCACCGCGGTGGGGCCGGAGCTGCTCACGGGTCCCTCTGGCCGCAGGCTCAGCGCTGGCGCAATGAGAACTACGAGAGGCCCGTGGACCTGGAGGGCTCCGGGGATGACGATCCCTTCGGAGAAGATGAGCTGGACGACATCTACTCCGGCTCTGGCTCGGGCTGTGAGTACTTGGGGGGTCCTGGGAAGGGTCCCTGGGTGGCTTGTGGGGTTTTGGGGTTTCCAGCTGGCTGTGGAATTTGGGGGCTCCTCGGAAGGCTCTATGGCTTCCTATGGGATTTGGGGGATCCTGGGAAGCGTCCCTGGCTGCCTGTGGGATTTTGGAGCTCCTGGGAAGGGTCCCTGGCTGCATGTGGGATTTTGGGGCTCCTGGGAAGGGTCCCTGGCTGCCTGTGGGATTTTGGAGCTCCTGGGAAGGGTCCGTGGCTGCCTTTGGGTTTGTGGGGCTGCAGAGGGGATGTGAGGGAGGGGATTCCCTTTATCCACCTCCAGAGCTCCCTCCTGCCCTCTCCCAGGTAAAAGCACCGGAGCTGCCCCAAAGGTTGGGCTCCAGGGCCTCCATGCCCCAGTGTAGCCTCTGGCCCTGATGGGCAGAAATGGCCCTTCCAGAGACCCCAGAGGGGACTTTGGGGACTGCCACCCCATGGGSACCTGCAGCCCTTGGTTCTTGCTGATCCTGGAACCGTCCATGCTCCTGGATTTTTGGGGTGATGCCAGGGACCTCACTCCTCTCTTGTCCCCGTTTCAGATTTCGAGCCGGAGCTGGGGCTGGATACGGCCGTGAGCCTGAGCCCGGACACGCTGATGACACTGCCCACCACAGCGGCCGTGCTGCCCACCAGCGCCGCCCAGCCCGTGGCAACGCCCCTGGAGCCGTCCCCAACCCCACCAGACACCACCCCCGGGCGGGCAACCAGCGCCTGGTCCATCCCCAGGACCACTGAGGCACCAGCGATGCCCAGCTGGACACTGACCACCACCAGCACCACGGCCAGCGAGGCCCCGACCACCACGGCCACCACGACCACCACCATGGCCACCACCACCACCACCATGGCTACCACCACCACCACCACCACCACAGAGGCCACCACCACCAGCAGCACCACCGTGGCCACGGCCAAGCCCACCACCATCCAGAGGTTCCTGCCCCCCTTGGCCACCAAGGCAGCCACCACCCGGGCCACTACCCGGGCCACCACCCTGGCCACCACCCAGGCCACCACCCGGGCCACCACCCGGGCCACCACTCGGGCCACCACCCTGGAGACGCCCACCACGCCCCTCCCCGAAGCCAGCACGCCAACAGAGGTGGCCACGCCACGCCTTGTCCCCGCCAGCACGGCCAGGCCCAGGGCCCTGCCAGCGCCCAGCACCTGGAGGACTGCAGGGCTGCCCGAGGACAGCACGGCCGTGCCCCCCGCTGCCGCCACACCCCCGCCCCCGGGACCACCCCAGGTAGGAGCAGRAGCCCCTCTCACCTGCCAGGGCTCTGTGCAGAGCCACACCATGGCCACGGAAAGCCATTGGTGGCCACCCATCCTCGACCACCTGCTCAGAGGGAGGTCAAGGCAGGCTGGGCTCTTCCAATGGAACATCTGGGGAGCTGGGAAGGAGAAGGGGGGTGGGGRTTGAACCTGGGGTCCGAGCTCATGGGGGCACCCAGGGATGAGCCACAAACCCTGGTGACCCCGCACTGCTTCTCCAAAGCGGTGTCCCCAGGCAGGAGGGGCGCGGTGCCACATGCCGGTGTCACCTCCCTCCCGTGGGGACACTGCGGCTGCCCTCGGGCTCTGGTGTCGTTGCCCAGCTCCCGGCCCTCCCGGCAATCCCAGACTCTCCTCAATTACAGCTCGATGGTTCATTTCCTGCCCGCCGGTGTCCTGAGGTCTCGGAGCCCCTCGGGGGCCCTTGGCAGCGCTTTGACTGAAGCGTGCGGTGATTTGTCGGAACTGCTCCCTCTTCCCTGCCCGCCAATGCGAGCTGGGAGCGCTCGGGGCTCCCGCTGACCTTCCATTAATCCCTGTCACAAACGCGGTTGCCGCGGGAAGCGCTGAACCGTGCGCGGGTCCCGGGGCGGCGGGACACGGGGGGGACAGCTCTCACAGCTCCCATCCCAGCTCCCACCCCTGCCCAGCTCCCAGCTCATCCCGGATCCCGGCTGATCCCGGATCCCGGCTCATCCCGAATCCTGCTCTGGGACCGAGGCGGGTCCTGAAGAAGCTGTTTTCCCACACAAAGCAGGGATCCCACCAGGGTCTGGCTTGGGGATGCTCCAGCTCAGTGGCCACACAGCTGGAACAGGGGGGAAGCTCGAGGGGATTTGGTGGTGTGGAAGGGATGAGCAGGAGGCAGTGAACAGATCAGGAATGGGATAGAGGGCGTGGAATGGATCACATTCCCAGGCAGAATTCGGATCCCCTCCTTGCCGGGGGAATTGGTCAGCAAGGACAGCCAGGAGTTGGGCTGGCCCCATGGCCTGGGTGACCAGGACCCCCCTTCCTGCTCCTGCCCTTGCAGCTGGGAGGGGAAATCAAGAGGGAAGGAGCCCCCTGGAGCTCACACAGCGGGATCCCATCCTCCCTCCTGCTCGATGGCCTGGCACAGACAGGACCATGTGTCCCTTTCTGCTGGGAGGGGTCACCTGTGAGCTGTGACACTCACCCTACGCTCTGAGCCCAGCAGAGGGCCCGGGGTGGGCTAGTGGGAAAATGCTTTAGTGGGAGGGAAAGTTTGGGCTGGGGTCTCTTTAGGGGAAACTGCAGGGAACAGGTGACAGGTTGAGGATATCTGGTGTGGGRACAGAGAGGARTGGCCCAGCTCAGCCATGGTGGATKGGCTGTTTGGTGACATTGAGTTGTGGGGTTGTGTTGTCACCGAGTTATAACTTCAGTGGCACGGGAAAGGGGCACCCCAATGCCATCCCCATGTCCCCCACCCTGTCCTCAGTCCTGTGCCCCCCTCTGGTCCCTGTCCCCTGCCCCACTTTGTCCTTTCCCCCAGCAGGAGCCCAGGGAGGTGACAACCATCCCGGACAGCGAGCTGGAGGTCCCGGCCAGTAGTGGCCCCAGTGGGGACTTCGAGATCCGGGAGGAGGAGGACACAACTCGCCCGGAGCTGGGGAACGAGGTGGTGGCCGTGGTGACACCACCAGTGGGGCCAGGGCCCGGCAGGAACGCGGACTCGGGGCTGCTGGACAACACGATAGACTCGGGCAACTCGGCTGCTCAGCTGCCCCAGAAGAACATCCTGGAGAGGAAAGAGGTGTTGATAGGTGAGATTTGGGATTTGGGGGGAAGGGAGCTGGGCTGTCCTGGGARGGGCAGTGGGGTCACCCACACTCACCTCCCAAAATTGCCCCGTGGCTGTGCGGGGTGGTGCCAGGGCCTTCAGCCTTTGGCAGGAATGTTGGGCAACATTTGCTTCAGCTGACATGGATTTCCAGGAAAAAAATGGGATTTTTAAAACTGGAAATCCAGAATGTGTTGCAGTGGTGGCTGAAGAGCACCYGGCCACCACTGAGAGCTGCTGCCAAACTTCCAAAGCACAAACCAGGCTGGAATTCCAAATGATGCCCCCAAATTCTTTGTGCTGGAAGCCCAGCTGGGGCTGGGGGTGGCACTGAGGACCAGGGGTGACACTGATGGCTGTGGGTGGCACTGATGGCTGGGGAGAGGGTGGCACTGACAGCTGGGAATGGCACGGATAGCCAAGGAGTGGCATTGAGGGCTGGAGGTGGCACTGACATCCAGCGATGGCACTGAGGGCCAGGGGTGACACTGACAGCTGGGGATGACACCAAGATTGGGGTGGCACTGATGACCAGAGGTGACACCAACATCCAGGGGTGGCACTGACAACCAGGAGGTGGTACTGATAGACAGGGGTGGCACCGAGGGCTGGGGGTGACCAGGGGTGACATTGACAGTTGGGGGTGACACTGACATCCAGGGGTGGTACTGATGGCCAGGGGTGGCACTGACATCCCACGGTGACACTGATGACCAGGGGTGACACTGATGACCAGGGGTGGCACTGATGGCCAGGGGTGACACTGATGACCAGGGGTGGCACTGATGGCCAGGGGTGGCACTGATGGCCAGGGGTGACACTGATGGCCAGGGGTGGCACTGATGGCCAGGGATGGCACTGATGACCAGGGGTGACACTGATGACCAGGGGTGGCACTGACATCCCGCGGTGACATTGATGACAGGGGTGGCACTGGCATCCCGCGGTGACACTGATGACCAGGGGTGACACTGATGACCAGGGATGGCACTGATGACCAGGGGTGGCACTGATGACCAGGGATGACACTGATGACCAGGGGTGACACTGATGACCAGGGGTGGCACTGACATCCCGCGGTGACACTGATGACCAGGGGTGACACTGATGACCAGGGGTGGCACTGACATCCCGTGGTGACACTGATGTCCCTGTTCCTGCACTGTCCCCACAGCGGTGATCGTGGGTGGCGTGGTGGGTGCCCTGTTCGCCRCTTTCCTGGTGATGCTGCTCATCTACCGCATGAAGAAGAAGGACGAGGGCAGCTACACCCTGGAGGAGCCCAAGCAGGCAAACGTCACCTACCAGAAACCCGACAAGCAGGAGGAGTTCTACGCGTGACCGAGCGCCCGCAGTGCCTCACGCTCCCTCCCCGCCCCAAACTCTCCCCTTCCCCTTCTCCATCCAGCCTCTCTCTTTCCCCCTCCCCTCTCTCTCTTTTTTTGGGATCAGACTGTGAATTTTCCGAACAAAACCCGCAGCGGCTGAAGGAGGAGCAGTGTCCTKGGCGCAGGGGCCGCGGGGTGGCTGGAGCAGCGCCGGGGTGTGCCCAGCACCGCTGGCCTTTCTGCTGGCGGGAGGGACGGGACACGGAGCCCACRCCGAGGAGCCGGGGCGGCCGTGCCCGGGAACGCCCCGGGGAGYGTGGGACGGGCTGCCCACGGCGCCTGGAGCTCAACTGGACTTTCCCCACCACCACCACCACCACCATGGCAAACTCTGGGATCTGGACACCCCCTGCCAGCCCTGCGGGGAACGCTTTGGATTTATCCTCTTTGGTTTTCTATCCATGGAGGAGGGAGATTTCCTTCCTTCTGCCAGCCCCGTGGGGGTCACTTTGGATTTATCCTCTTTTTTTTTCCATCCATGAGGAGGGAGATTTCCTTCCTTCGGGCCGCACAGGGGTCGCTTTGGATTTATCCTCTTTGKTTTTCCATCCATGAAGGAGGGAGATTTCCTTCCCTCCATTCKGTTTTTGGTTTCTGGTTTCTTTTGGAATGGGCTCGGTCGCTCCGCAGGAATCCCCTCCCGTCAGAAGAGAGAATCCCCTCCCTTTGGCTCTCCAATGCTCCTGGAACCTTGGGAAAAGCACAAGGGGCYGGAACAGCTGGGATTTGCTCTTGGAGTGGGGAGAAAAGGAAATAAGTGCAAATGGGAATGATCCCTTAGGATCGCTGTTCTGGAGAGCTCGTGGAGCTGCACTGGGGTGTCCCAGGCTGCTGCCATCCCACCACCCCTGGAATCTCTGGGATCCACGCCTAGCTGAGCCGTTTGGCCTGGCAGGGACTTGGCTTGGCCTGGATTTTCACTGTCACCACCAAAGCTTGGCTCTGCGGGACGTTCCTCAGGAGGAGCTGGGAATGGAGATCCCAATCCTCACCCCGGCTCTTCCAGAGGGGATAACAGAGCTCGGCAAGGCCTGGGATGAACCTGAGGAAGGAAATCCAGGGAGGGGTGATCCCTGTCCCATCAGGCTCCRGCTGGGATCCCATTGGCATCCAGAGATGAGGAAGAGGAGGCAGAACCATCGCTCAGCCCCAGGGTTCATTTGATCATTGGAAAGATCCTAAAACCATTGGAAAGACCCAGGATTGACCGTTTTCCTTCATTGTTTAAACCCCCAGGATTGTTGGTTTTCCTTCACTGGTGTTTAAATCCCAGGAAAATCCACAGGACCGGAGAGCACTGGCCCTGGAACCCCCCAGGTGTCCCCTCTGAGGCTGCCCCATGTTCAGATCCCGACACTCCGGTGCCTTCGGGAAAGGCGGATTTTTCAGAGCGAGCTCTGCACAGAAGAATCGATTGGGATATTTCCATTCAGATAATTTCAGTTAGGATATTCCAATTAGGATATTTCCATTCAGATAATTTCAATTAGGATATTTCCATTCAGATAATTTCAATTTGGATATTCAAATTAGGATATTTCCATTCAGATAATTTCAGTTAGGATATTCCAGTTAGGACATTTCAATTGGGATATTTCATTTGGGATATTTCAACTGGGATATTTCAATGAGGATATTTCAGTGAGGATATTTCAACTGAGATATTTCAATGAGGATATTTCAATTGGGATATTTTAAAGGTTATTTCAATGAGGTGGCTCTTCATTAGCTAGAGCCCTGTTTGTGGGGCCGTCAAGGAGCTTTGTTGTCACGGTGGGTGAGATCTCGGTGGGGTCCTATGGAGGCTCTGGATTGGCTCTTGGAGCCATTTAAATTAAGGAAAAACYTTAATTTTTARTCTTAATTTTTTYAATCTCCATTTTAAATCTAAATTTTGAATGGGAAAATCCAATTTAAATCGGAAAAAAGTCATTGTTGCATCTCTGTTGCCTTGGGAATTCAGCTGCATGGAGTCAGGGAAGCTTTGGCTCYCGAGGGGTTGGGGGATTTCGGGTTTTAGGGCCCTGGTGAGGGTTCCAGGACATCAGAGCTTCTTTGGGGAAGGGATTTGAGAGACCAAAAGCATATTTTAAATGAATTTAAAYATAAATATAAATATCCACCCCTACAGGTATGACATGAAAGGAAATCCCTGGAATTTCTCGGTGCACTGGGACGGCTGGGTGGGATTTGTGGTTGGGAAAAGCTGGGAGGTTTGGGCTGCTTTTCCCTGGAATACTGCCCAAAATGCCCAACCTGACTTTACTTTGGTTTAGGGAGCAGAGCCCTGGGCTTGGATCAGCTCCAAAATCCACTTTTTTTAGCTGCTAGACTCAAAATCCTCCTGGCTGAAGTTCTTGGAGCTTGGAGAAGGCCCCGTTGGGTGTTTGGGGTGGTGATGCTGGGATGCACGCAGTGTTTGGGTGTGTGAGTGACCATTCCTGTGTCAATCCCGAGGGAGGATGAGGCTGAGGATGAGGGTCAGGATGAGGATGAGGATCAGGATCAGGATCAGGATCAGGATCAGGATGAAGGATGAGGATGCCCCAAAAGATGGAATGCCCTCAGAAAGATCCTGGTGCCCCCTTTGTGCTGCTCCAAAGTGAGTTTGATTTGATTTGAATCCACTTTGACTCCTGGATTTGATGGTTTGGAGGTTTCTGGCCCTGTTGGGATCATGCAAAGGGGAGTGACACAAATTCAGCCCACCAAAACCACCCAAAATCCCCATCYTTTGGAAAAACCTGGATATAATCTTTGGAGCTTGCTTTAAAAAGAAAAAAAAAAAAACCAAACCAACCCTCCCAGCTTAATCTTTTTAATGCTGCTTTTCAGAGCTGCTTCCTTTAATCTTCCTCATTCCATTTTTCCTCCCTATTTAATAGTCTGAAGTTCCATAATACCATTTTTTTATTCACTCAAGATTAACCTTGTCCCGCTCAGCCRGTGTTAAGTTGTAATCCCGGCACTTAAATCCGTCACAGCTCCTCCAGTGAGGAAGGCTGGAAGTGGGAGGGCACGAGGAGCCCGGGCAGGACTTCTGCAGTAATTAAAACATGAGATGAACTCATTAAAAAAAAAAAAAAAAAGGTGAAGGCGATTAAACTGCTCATCAGGAGTGACCAGATAATTCCTTATTCTTCTCCTGCTTCCTCCTGGAGAGGGAGGAGAGCTCTGTGAGGATTTTTGGGTTTGGAGCCTGTTTTTTGGGTGTTGATGATGTCACAGCCTCTCATGTCACCTCAGGTCCGTGGGGGCTGCTGGAGTTGTTGATTCTTGAAAGAAAAAACTTTGGTGCTGGAGGATGTGATCCTGTGCCTCCCTCCAAGGAGCTGGGATGGAGCTGAGCTTGGGTGGCATTTCTTGGGAAATCTCAAAAAAATTCCTAAATAATATCATTCCTCCACGAGCAGAGCCAAGGGGATGGATGAAACCCCGAGGGTTGGTGCAGGGTGCAGGTGGAGGCAGCTGCTCCAGCTYCGGGGCTTTTCAGGGATTCCTGGTGGGAAGAGGGATGGGGAGGAGGTGCAGGAGCTCCACAGGGAGGGACAGGGGAGGAGCCACCCCCAACTGCAAAGCCAAATTTTAGGAAAATTCATTTCATTGTTTCCAGCACCCTCCCTTCGCAAAGCCAGCCCTGGCATCATCCCCTCCACCCAAATTCCCACCCCTGGTGCTGATCCCAGCCAGGAACAGCTGGAGCAGTGCCCAGATGTGCTGGTTGTTCCAGCTGTGCCCCCTGAGGGATTTTCCGTGGCTTCCCCGTTCCTTTTTCATGTGTTCCCACTGTCCTGTGGTGCTCCCGAGCCATGGGGAGGCTCCTGGCTGTTCCAGTTGGGTGATTTTTGGAGATTTGGGGATTGCAGGGTGGGGTGGGCAGCTCTGGCAGCTGTGCCAGCCCTGGGGCTCTCCCAGCTGGAATTGCAGCGGGAAAATCGAGGATTCCAGGGAGTCCTGGGCCACATCGGTGAGGAGGAGGGAGTCAGAGGGAAGGGAAGAGCAGAGAGCCCAACCCAGGGCTGGAATGGGGCATTTGGGAGCAGCACGGGATGGAGGGGCCCAGGAACAGCCGGATCCAGCCCTGGGTGGGTTTTGCAGGGCTGGAAGTTGTCCCTTTCCTCTCAAAATCAGAGATTTTGGATATTTCCATAAGGAGCAGCAGGGCCCTGGGTGAGATGGAGTTGGAGTTGTCCCTTTGCTCCCAAATCTCTGATTTTGGGCCTTTCCAAATGTAGCAGTGCTGGGGGGATCTGGCTGCAGGGAATGGGATAGATCTGTGCTGGATGAGTGCCAGGATGGGCTGGTTTGTCCTGAATTTCCCCACTCCCTCCCCAATTTCCCTGATGATCCCTGTTTGGGAGCTCCTTTGCCTCATCTCCRTCTCCAGCYCCAAAATTCTGAGCTCTCCCTGCCRTGAATYCCCARCTCAGAGGCTYTCACAGGGACARACTCATTGGCTGAGAGCAGAAATGGGGTTTTAAATTCCCTTTTCCCCCCTTAACCGCCCTTGTCAGGACTTTTCCTGGACTCCAAGGTTTTCTACCAGGCTCTGAAGTGACACTGAGTTTTCAATCCTGAAAGGTTTGATTGGAATAAATTCCCTGGGCTCGCTGAGAGCCGGGCTGGGGCTGTGTGTGTATATATGGGAATGTAATTAATGTATAGGTAGAGATGTATAGACCTGCACGGGGTCGGGTTGGGGTCAGCTCCAGAGGAGGAGGAGGAGGAGGAGGAGGAGGAGGAGGAGGAGGAGGAGAGGGAGGAGGAGGATTTATCCTCCAGGACCACGTGTTGGGCTCTGCAGTCCTTGGCCCCAAGGGATGTGGGATTCAGTCTCATTCCCTGTCCCAAGGGATGGGGATTTCCTGTCCAAAGAATATGGGATTCAGCCTCATTTCCTGTCCCAAGAGATGTTGAATTCAGCCCCATTCCCTGCTCCTAAGGATGCAGGATTCAGCCTCGGCCCCTGTCCCAAGGGATGTGGGATTCAGCCTCTCAAATAAATTCCTGCCGTTTCCCCCTGCCATCCCTGCCCTTCTCATCCCCCCCGATCCCGATCCTGATCCTGATCCTGATCCCGATTCTGGTGCCGGTGGGTTGGGATGAGTCAGGGTGTGGGATCAGGAGCCTTTTGCCACTGGAGGGCTGGAGCAGATCCTGGGATGGGATCCAGGGATGGGATCCTGGGATGGGATCCTGGGATGGGATCCAGGGATAGGATCCAGGGATAGGATCCAGAGATGGGATCCTGGGATGGGATCCCGGGATGGGATCCAGAGATGGGATCCTGGGATGGGATCCCGGGATGGGTTTCTGGGATGGGATCCTGGGATGAGATCCAGGGATGGGATCCAGGGATGGGTTCCCGGGATATGTTCCTGGGATGTATTCCCGGGATGGGTTCCTGGGATGGGATCCAGGGGTGAGATCCTGGGATGGGATCCTGGGACAGGATCCAGGGATGGGATCCAAGAATGGGATCCAGGGATGGGATCCTGGGATGGGATCCAAGGATGGGATCCCGGGATGGGATCCTGGGACAGGATCCAGGGATGGGATCCCGGGATGGGTTTCTGGGATGGGATCCTGGGATGAGATCCAGGGATGGGATCCAGGGATGGGATCCAGGGATGGGATCCAGGGATGAGATCCTGGGATGGGATCCTGGGACAGGATCCAGGGATGGGATCCCGGGATGGATCCAAAGCCCCACTGAGCTCCAGGGTGTCCCCAGCCCTTTTCCCTGCAGACCCCCCTCACTCTGGAGTGTTCRAACTTTTTATTTCTACTTTTATTTCCCCCGTTATTTTGATTTTTGGATTAAAAAACCCCGATTTTTTCTACCCCCCGCATTCCAGTCGGTCCATCCAGTGCTTCTCCCAAGGTCTCCAGGGTGCCAGGGATTTTTCCTGCAGGAATTTCCACTGTTTTGGGTCCCCCTGGTCGAAGTGACCCTGGCCCAGCTGACAATCAAACCAGACTTCCGAAAAACAGGAATCCATTGCAGTTTGATAGGAAACTTTTTAAAAATCCCCTCCCCTTCTCCCTCACCATCTCCAGGATAAATCATCATCACCCCCTGGTCCTTCTGTAAATAATCATCAAACCTTCTTGTATAAATTAAAAATAAAATAATTTAAAAAAAAAAA